ACACTCACACACACACCCTGCCCTAACGGGCAGGGTGTGTGTGTTCAAACAAACCCGAAACCTTACACTGTAGCTACACAGGTATGGGGATTCAAGTCAGAGAGGTATGCAAATGTTCTTGGTGTCATTGGTGTAGATAGCTCAATTCCACAGGCACAAAACCAGGAATGTCGCTCAATTACATGGCTATTGATAGATGGAGAGTGTCTCATACAAGACTTGCAAAATTTAGACCCATATTGCTAATGACCTGAATAAAGTATAAGGATATAAAGATAGGCAATGATGGATCACTCACATTAACGGTGCCGATATGCTGGGCCCACATCATATTTGATAGCATTATGGCTTGCTGTTGCTGAACTATGGCCTGTTGCGTGAGTTCTGTAGATGCTGCCATCGAATCTGCTGGACTGGTAACTGCAGATCCATCAGCTCGTATCCCACTGGCCAGCTTTCGAAGCGCAATCCCTTCACGCTCTCGATACTCTTTCATGATCACATCGGCCGGCCCAATACTGTTGTCAAACTTGGCTTTTCTTTCGCTCTTCATACGATTGAACTCCAGTTCAAAAGTATTGTCCTCCCTTTCATCTGCTTCGCGTTTGACTCTCCCTGCATCCCAATACCAAGTATCCATTCGCCCAGCACGGGCCTCATTCAATGCAAGTTGGGCAGTCTCACTCTCTCTCCTTTCATAGATCTGCTTCTGCTGGAGATTTCTGAGAATGTCATGCATGTTGCTTTGCATTTCATGTATCGAGGAGAGGCTTGACTTTGCAGAGTTGATTTGGTTGTATAGCTCTCTACTCGGCAGTGGAATCTGTGATGGAGTCTCGTCCCTGGCTAATCTTCTCTCTTCTTCTTGAGCTGGAGGAATAGTCTGTGGTATCGTGGCTAGCAGATTATGGAGGCTAGAGGTAAGGATTGCGGCGTCCTTTTCTGTACTTGCAATAGCGTCTCCCATTCTGCGCATTGCCAACGCGTAAAAGGGAGCACGACGTTCCACCTTCTGACCGGTGCGATAAGCCTTGATTTCCAAATCGCGTATTTTTTTCTGTCGTTCCAGCTGAACCGAGTCAGTTTCCATCCCCAC